TCAAATTATTATTAGTCTTAAGTTAAATGTTATCTAGTCTGTAAGGTTCGTTAAAACCATAGACTTAAATAAATAAATAAATAAAAGTAAACAATCAAAATTTTGAAAAGAATACCGAGTGAATGCAGATGCAACTGATTCAATCATTTTAAAGCTCTGGTATGTATGTACGTTCAAAAGCCTACAGCATTCAGTAGCAGACTTCCCTTTCCCTACAAGAATTGTGTGATGGAAACTAATACATTCTCATTTATCTTACTAACACATTTGCAAATTTTGCATTGGTTGAAAAGAGACCACTAAATAAGGCCATAATTCGGAGGAAGACGGAAGATCACATGTACACAAATGTTTTCATCACGTTTTGCATATTGCTCTTAAAAAGTTGATAGAAGTACTTGATTGAGATCATATCTCAGTCGTTGTCGTCGAGTTCCACTAACGGCAGCCCTAAGAAGCGTGCCGCCTCTACAGGGTCGGTCCACAGGGACAAAGCCGTTAGGGTTGTCGGGTTTTCCGGGCATGCGAAGAGATGTTTCGAGTCGTGAGGGGTCTCTCCGCATGCCGGGCACTCATTGTGCACATCCGCATTTAGTCTACTCAAGTATGAGTTTAACCTGCTGCAGTAGCCAGAGCGAAGTTGGACTATTGTTGTTCTTGTCTCCCGAGGCAGATGGAGCTCCGTCACGGAGAACGGCATTCTCAGGTCTAGAGTCTACATAACTCGAGACTGAGTCCCTGTGAATGCCGTTCAGGGCCTGTCGGTATGCTGACGGACGGGTCCAGAGGCTGCTTAATGAACCTCTGGACTTCGTCCGTCAGTTCGTAAAGATGCCTCCTGACGTGCCTAGGGGAGGGCTCCTCTGCAAGCAGCTGTCTGTTTGGGTGGCCAAATCTGTGGCTCCCAACCAGAAACTGCTTGCAGAGCATTGTGTTATGCTCATTGATTGGGAGCATTTTCGCCTCGTCATGTAGGTGGTGTTCAAGTGACATCAGGAGGCATCCAGTCGCTGTCCTGAGTGCGGTGTTCTGTGTTGTCTGTAGCTTCATCCACTGCGTCCTACTAGTCCCCGGCGACCACACTGGTGCTGCGTATTTTAAAACCGGCCGGCCTATTGCCTTGTATGTTGCCAGCAACGTTTCTTTGTCTTTGCCCCAGGTACTGCCGGCTAGTGACTTGAGCACCTTGTTGCGGCTCTGTACTTTGTTGCCAATAGCGGTTGCGTGCGCAGAGAAGGAGAGCAGGCTGTCGAATGTTACTCCGAGTATTATGGGGTTATTCACCGTCGGAATCGGTGTATCATCTACGTGAATTCCCAGCGGTAGCCTGACCTCCTTCGTCCAGGTGGTGAACAACGTCACAGAGGATTTCGTAGGGGAGAGGGCTAGACACTTTGCAGTGAAGAAGCGAGAAAGATCTGAGAGATACCCGTTTACTTTCGAACACAAGTCATCAATTCCATTCCCAGTCGCCATAATCGAGCAATCGTCGGCGTAAGAGACAATCTGGTGGTTGAGGGAGCTTTGAAATATAAAAGTTGAACAGTAGCGCGGAAAGGATACTACCCTGTGGAACCCCCTGTTTTATTTTCCTAAGTTTGCTCGATTTGTCTGTAAACATTACCGACGAGTGTCGACCACTCAGATAATTTTCCGTCCACCGTTTGAGCCTCTGTGGGAGAGAGGAAGCCTCTATATCTTCTAGTAGCGTGAAATGGCTGACAGTGTCAAACGCCTTTGACAGGTCCAACGCTACTAGAATCGTTCTCTCACAGGGACGGTTACGATTAAGGCCACGAGTTATCTGAGTGTTTATGGCGTTAAGTGCTGTTGTTGTACTGTGCACTTTACGGAAACCATGCTGATGCTTCGCTGGGGGCAGGTGGTTCGTCAAATACGGGAGCAGCAAGGCCTCTAGGGGGGACCCATGGCTTTGGAGGCTTTCGCCTTCCCGATGGCCACCTGAACTTCACCGCAAGTGAAAGCAAGGGGGGACAGGTTGTTGGCAGTTTGTGCAGCCTTCTGGTCACTCGACGCTTGGCTTTGTCCACCGGAGGATGCAGTATGAACTGCCGGCTAAAATAGCTCGCGCATCGCTCCGGGTCCGACGAAGCATGGTGGCCGAAAGAAATTTCGACTCTGTCGTCGTGCGTCGTCGGATTGGACAGTGACCTCACGGTTGACCAAAGCTTACTCACACCAGAGGTGAAGTTGCAAGTCTTCAGATGCTCTTCCCACTTCTTCCGCTTATGTACGTTCACTAGTTGCCGAATCTCCGCGTTGAGATCCCTGATACGGGGATCTCCGAGAACCGCCTGACGAACGCTGTCACGCTCATCAGCTAGAACAGCCGCTTCGGCAGGGAAATTTGGACGTGGGTCTGTAATGCATCCTGCCTGTACGAAGCGAGCTGTAGCAGCGGTGACAGCCCTGCGGAACTTACGTTCACCAAGGTGGACGTCGGTTGGTGTAGGGAGAGCAGCGCGGGTGTTTTCAATAAATTCCGCGAAGCCTTCCCAATCAGCTTTAGAGAAGTTGATATAGGTTCGGTGCTCCGCGGGAGCAAAGTCGGTTGGTTTATCGATCGAGATGACTATGGGCAGATGGTCTGATGCCAAAGTCAGCATAGGTCGCCATGATATGCTGTTTATCAGACCAGCGCTGACTATTGTTATGTCTGGCGAGCTGCAGCAGCTGCCCATAATCCTGGGGGGTGCGTCGTCGTTCATTGTGCAGAATGTCGAATCGACTATCTGCTCAGCCAAATCGGTTCCCCTACGATCGTTTGACAGGCTTAAGTGCCAAATATCGTGGTGCGCATTAAAGTCACCTACTACCATCCGGTTTTCACCTCTGAGGAGCGCACCTATATCAGGGTGATATCCTGCCGCGCAGCTGGTGACAGGGGGTATGCATACGTTGAATATTTCGCCAATTGGAAACGCCAAGTGAAGCCAAGTCCTTCTCCACCTGCTCTTTCCATCGCAGTGGGGGCCTTCCTCTTTCTCTGCTACCACCAGCGGGTTCCGAGTTGAATACTTTCAGAGCTGGAGCATCAGTGTCCATTCGAACGACATGGCCAAGCCAGCGGAGCCGCTGTATTTTAATTCGCTGCACTATGTCCATGTCGTTGTATAGCTCATACAGCTCATCGTTTCATCGTCTGCGGTACTCGCCGTCGCCAACCCGTAAAGGCCCGTAAATCTTCCGCAAAATCTTTCTCCCGAACACTTCAAGAGCCGCCTCATCGGATGTTGTCATTGTCCATGCTTCTGCGCCATATACCAGCACGGGCATGATGAGTGACGTATAGAGCGTTTTCGTACGTCGAGAGAGGACTTTACTTTTCAATTGCCTACTAAGTCCAAAGTAGCACTTGTTGGCAAGCGTGATTCTCCGTTGGATTTCAAGGCTGACATTATTATTGGTGTTAATGCTGGTTCCCAAATAAACGAAGTCGTCTACTTTTTTAAACTTGTAACTGGCAACAGTGACGTGGATGCCAAGACGCGTATGCTCTGACTGTTTGTGTGATGACAGGAGATACTTCGTTTTGTCCTCGTTCACCACCAGACCCATTCGCTTTGCTTCTCTATCCAATCCCGCGAAAACAGAGCAGACGTAGCCCTCGTGTTTACTGATAATATCGATGTCGTCGGCATACGCCAGCAATTGTACGCTCTTGTAAAGTATTGTGCCTGAGCGGTTCAGTTCGCCGGCTCTTATTATCTTCTCCAACATCAGATTAAAGAAATCACTCGAAAGGGCGTCACCCTGTCTGAAACCTCGTTTGGTATCAAAAGGCTCGGAGAGGTCCTTCCCTATTCTGACGGAGCTTGTGGTATTGCTCAACGTCGTTTTACACAGCCGTATTAGTTTTGCGGGGATACCAAATTCAGACATCGCGGCATAAAGGCAACTTCTCTTCGTGCCCTTTTTGCTTAATTCCGTACTCGGGAGTTACCATTCTTAAATTTTCCCGTATTTGATTCTAAAATTGAAGACCCCAGCCCGCGCCCACTTATAGTTTTTAAGTAATTTGTTGTTGAAGTTGCCAAATTCACCAAATATGTTGATGCAAATTGCATCGATTTTATCATCCAAAAGTGCGTGAAATAGATAAATGTGACTTAAATGTAAGCACTGTTATTGCACATGACCATTTTCTTTTAAGTAATATGCTATTTTTGTTAATTTAAACACGATAAAACATTTAAAAAAGTAGTGAAGTAGTAAACATGCGAGGGTTGCAACTAAACACCGAAGTTAGTGCTGCCAGACTATTTATCATCACAATTTTTACTTGCGTCCACAGTATTTTTGCGTAGAATTCCTTTCTGCGTAGGCGGCCTTCGGCCGCGCTTTAGGATTATAACCCTTACCAAATAGAATTCTCCTTTTGGTGTGCACC